CTGCCCAGGGAGGTTGTGGAGTCTCCTTCTCTGGAGACATTCAAGACCCGCCTGGACAAGGTCTTGTGCAGCCTGCTGTAGGTGACCCTGCTTCGGCAGGGGGGTTGGACTAGATGATCCCCAGAGGTCCCTTCCAACACCTACCATTCTGTGATTCTGTGATCTCCATGGGTGGAGATACCTGTATCCATGTTGGCATTTTGTACTTGTGAATTCGAGCACTTCTCCAGCCTGGTAAGATATGGGGAGGCTCAAAAGCCCTTAGCTGTGAAACAGAGAGCTCCTGGCAAAGCACTGGGGTCGAGTGGGCTGGAAAACCGTGTCTGCAGCAAAAGAGCTGCAGTCCTGTGCTGGGAGCATGAGACAGGTGGCGAGAATGCCACCAAACCACTTGCCAGGGATGCTCAGCCCCAGCATCCCTTCTGGGCTTTCACTGTGGGGCTGGATGTTACTGGTTAACCTCAGCAGGCCAATATTTGAGGAAAATAACAGTTAAAGAGGAGGTCTTGGAGGAACTGGGTGAACCCCAAAGCACCTGCCTGAACACTGACCCCCTCCCTGCGGTGCTCTTGCAGCCTCCTGCCCTGCCCTGCAAGCGCCTGTGGACGGGAGGAAGTTTGGCACCAAATACTTGGTGGAGCACGAGGTTCACTTCACCTGCGACCCGGGCTTCCAGCTCCTGGGCTCCAGCACGCGGACGTGCCAGGCCAACGGCAGCTGGACTGGGCAGGAGCCCCGCTGCGCAGGTACTGCTCCGTGCTGCCCATGGCAAGGCTGCCAGGCAGGCGGCTGCGGTCATAGGGCTGCTTTGCATCCAGGGCTGCCCACGGATGTCGTTTGCAAGAGTGGGATGCAATTTGGGTCTATTTAAACATGGGGGATTATTGGCGTTCACCAAATGGGGAGGTATTGCAGCTGTCCCTGAGTCCCAGCGAGCCAACATCCCAGTGGTGCTGTGGCTCCCAGCCCTGGTGATTTGGGGTTTCTCATCCTCAAGGAAAGCTGGAAATTACAGCTGGAGCCTCACCTGCAGCACAGCAGCGGAGACGAGGGGCAAAGGCATCGGTGCTGCGATGGCTCCCTGCGCCGTAGCAAACCATTGCACCGCGACAGCGCTGCAGCATCAGAAACAGCCGGTGCCTGAGCTCGGCAAAATACATGGTTACGATGTGCCGTGGGGTACCAAAGTGGCCCGGTGCATGCTCCCAGGAGCTCTCTGCTGGGCTGAAGTCAGGAGGGTGGTAATTAAACGCTGTAGCTGGTTTTTTTGTATTGGGAGGCTTTGGTGTTTGAGCTCCCCACAGCTCACAGGTGAGGGGCAGCCCCTGAAGCCCCCTGGGTGGACGGTGCCGAGGTGTGGGGGCACACGGGGGGGCACAGGCGAGCTCCCCTCTGTCACCCTGTGTTGGAGTGGCTTCCCGCTGTCCGGGCTGCGCCAGCACCAAACGGCGAGGGTCCATCGGGCCTCGTATGGCCTTTTATTTTTCCCCTTT